AACAGCTGGAGGTGCCACCAGTTTGACACCCCTGCTGTAGAGGGAAAAATTAGCGGTAAGTGTTGGCGCCACCCCTGGTTGGGTCAGGTGATGACAACTGATTGTACTTGCCCCAATCTGACATTTGCAATTATATGAATATTTGCAGAAGCTAGTCATTCCTGTATCATAATTGCTGAATTATCACATACAACAAATATCTTCCCATACATGCCATGACCTGATCATCACAAAAGAATAATCAGTCACCTTTTGACACTCTTAATAATGACTTATTTTTAGAAACCAGTTCAATTCTCAGATCTGTATATCAGATCTGTTTTTCTGGTTATGGTCCTGCTTCTTTGTCAATAACTTTGTTATTACTTAGGAAAACAAAGTAAAGCATATATTTTTTTTGAAACAAACAAGGATTTCTTTTGGTGATACCGTCTTGCAAAAATATTTTTTTTATCTACCCAATCTATAAAAAAAACAAATTTGCAAAAAACACACCTTTTTATTTTGAGCATGTGAGATGGGGAAACAGCTCTCATTGTTTGAATACTGCTTGTGTGGAGTAAATTAAATGTTTTGACTGACATTCTGCAGTTTAGCCACAAGATGTCACTGTTTTTCTAACGCAACCTCAGACTGCATAGATATTTCTATATTCATGAAGAGGTGGAGTTTACACATAGAGTTGAGATGGAACAGGAAGAAGAGACAGCAGCCATGTTCTGGAGAATGGTGAATGAGGGGGGCCGTGTGAGCTGAGAATCTGATGACATCCAGGTGTGAGAGCATCCCTCCGTAACCAGAGTTGCTGCCAGGAAGCTGATGAGATTGCTGCCAGAAATGCTGATGAGATTGCTGCCAGGAATGCTGATGAGATTGCTGCCAGGAATGCTGATGAGATTGCTGCCAGAAATGCTGATGAGAGCAGAGGAACTAAGCAACATATATGGCGAGACCGCATGCTTGTTGGAGAGACATTTCTTCTGTTCAGAATCACCAGCGGATGCAAAGCAGACCCGGGTCGGTAAGATCGTGCACGCACCTCATTTCAGTGTTAGCACCTTGAGACTGAGTCCAGGCCTACAGTTAATTAGTTAGGGTCTCTGTTTGTGTCAGGCCACAAGTGTTGTTAATGATCATTGGAAGGACTGCACAACTTAAAGTGACATTTCACATTGGAGAGCTGATAAAATCCTACAAACTCAAGCCAGACTGGCGTTTTGCTCAGAAGGAATACTCAGGCACGTGCTACAGGACCAGTTATGGGAGAGGGAATACTGTAGATTTGTGTAAGATTGTAAGCTGTTGTGCTGCACCGCAGGCTAGCCCATACCGTACACTCAATCACTGATTCCTGCTCTGTAGGGTAATAACAGGTAAGGTGTGGCAGCTTAGTTGTGCCCCCCAGTAGGTAAATTACTACACTTTCTACCTTCATCCATCAGGAGGCGCCGTGCTGTGCAGCACAAGGGTCTTAGCCTTTGGGCTGGGTGTATGTAAATTTATTGTATGTTCCAGCATTTGTCGTGTTTATTTGCCACATCTAAGTAAAATTCTGTTGTGGCAAAAGCTGGTGTTGGGGTTGCTTTCCTCGTTCGTGACTTCACTGTGTCCTGGGGAGCCCACCCCGGTACACGGCTTACAAGCATTTAGTTACATAGTTAACGTGGTTACAAAAAGACGCAAGTCCATCCAGTTCAACCAACAGCAAAAAACACACAACACACAATACAACACATACAAATAGAAAACCCTCCATATACACAATCTATACCCACGGCTGATCTAGAGAGGAAGTAAAAAAAACCTCAATAAAAGCACGATCCAATCTGCTCCTGCAGGGGAAAATTTCCTTCCTGATCCCCCGAGAGGCAATCGGATATTCCCTGGATCAACTTTACCTATAAATGTTATATTCTGTGTATTTATTCTCTTCTTCTCTAGAGAGAATAAATTCAGTTCCTCTAATCTTTCCTCATAGCTGATCTCCTCCATGCCTCGTATCAGTTTGGTTGCCCTTCTCTGTACTTTCTCCAGTTCCCCAATGTTCTTTTTGTGATTTGGTGCCCAAAAGTGAACTGCATATTTCAGATGAGGTATTACCCTTAAAGTGTTCCTAAACCCGGATCCTGCATTCACTACATCCGCTCTTCCCGGACCCCGCATTCACTATATCCGCTCTCCCCGGACCCTGCATTCACTACATCCGCTCTTCCCGGACCCCGCATTCACTATATCCGCTCTCCCCGGAACCTGCATTCACTACATCCGCTCTCCCCGGACCCCGCATTCACTATATCTGCTCTCCCCGGACCCCGCATTCACTATATCCTCTCCCCCGACCCCGCATTCACTATATCTGGTCTCCCCGGACCCCGCATTCACTATATCTGGTCTCCCGGAACCCCTCATTCACTATATCTGGTCTCCCCGGACCCCGCATTCACTATATCTGGTCTCCCCGGACCCCCGCATTCACTATATCTGCTCTTCCCGGACAATGCATGCACTATATCCGCTCTCCCCGGACCCTGCATTCACTATATCCGCTCTTCCCGGACCCCGCATTCACTATATCTGGTCTCCCCGGATGCCCGCATTCACTATATCTGGTCTCCCCGGAACCCCTCATTCACTATATCTGGTCTCCCCGGACCCCGCATTCACTATATCTGGTCTCCCCGGACCCCGCATTCACTATATCTGCTCTTCCCGGACAATGCATGCACTCTGGTCTCCCCGGACCCCACATTCACTATATCCGCTCTTCCCGGACCCCGCATTCACTATATCCGGTCTCCCAGGATGCTGCATTCACTATATCCGCTCTCCCCGAACCCCGCATTCACTATATCTGCTCTCCCCGGACCCCGCATTCACTATATCTGGTCTCCCCGGACCCCGCATTCACTATATCCACTCTCCCTGGACCCTGCATTCACTGTATCCGCTCTCCCCGGACCCCGCATTCACTATATCCGGTCTCCCCAGACCCCGCATTCACTATATCCACTCTCCCCGGACCCTGCATTCACTGTATCCGGTCTCCCCAGACCCTGCATTCACTATATCTGGTCTCCCCATACCCTGCATTCACTATATCCGCTCTCCCCGGACCCTGCATTTCACTATATCCGGTCTCCCAGGACCCTGCATTCATTATATCCGCTCTCCCCGAACCCCACATTCACTATATCCGCTCTCCCCAGACCCTGCATTCACTGTATCCGGTCTGCTCAGACCCCGCATTCACTATGTTCGCTCTCCCAGGACCCCCACATTTACTATATCCGCTCTCTCCCCAGACCCTGCATTCACTATATCCGCTCTCCCCGGACCCCCGCATTCACTATATCCGCTCTCCCTGGACCCTGCATTCACTATATATCGCTCTCCCTGGACCCTGCATTCACTATATCTGGTTTCCCCGGACCCTGCATTCACTATATCCGCTCTCCCCAGACCCCGCATTCTCTATATCTGCTCTCCCCGGACCCCGCATTCACTATATCCGCTCTCCCCGGACCCAGCATTCACTATATCCGCTCTCCCCGGACCCCGCATTCACTATATCCGCTCTCCCCGGACCCCGCATTCACTATATCCGCTCTCCCCGGACCCCGCATTCACTAAATCCACTCTCCCCGGACCCAGCATTCACTATATCTGCTCTCCCCGGACCCTGCATTCACTATATCCGCTCTCCCCGGACCCAGCATTCACTATATCTGCTCTCCCCGGACCCTGCATTCACTATATCCGCTCTCCCCGGACCCCGCATTCACTATATCCGCTCTCCCCGGACCCCGCATTCACTATATCCGCTCTCCCCGGACCCCGCATTCACTATATCCGCTCTCCCGGACCCTGCATTCACTATATCCAGTCTCCCTGGACTCTGCATTCACTATATTTCAAATATATTTTTCTTCCATATGGGAAGTCCCGGCTGTCATTTTAACAGTTGGGAATTGCTGGTAAAAATGGTGGAAAGAATGGCGGTGGGGGGGGGAGAACAAAATGTGCTATGTATGCCCCGTGTATGTAGTATGCCTAATATACAAGCCTGGATAAAGATGCCTTTAATTAAAGGGACTGGCCAGTTTGGAAATATGTGCGCTGTCATTAGTAATATGTTATGTATGTAACATGAAGGTGTACATTTCAAAATTCTCACCTTCCTACTTCCTTTACACTTACTGACCTGACATCTGACATGCATGCTTTGTTCCACGTTTGTGACTCACACGACAATGACGAAATTATAAAGAACATCATTTTATATGAAGCAAATTTTTTATATTCTGCCATTTAAACAGCAGCTTGGGTTGAGGGGGTGTTAAAGAAACTGACGAAATGTTTATATTTTCTTTTTTTAATTGATTCTTTCTTTATCCTTATAAAGTAATATACACTTATAAATGAGTTAGCAAATCAGGGATCAAGGCATACACATATATATTGTTGGTAATAACGAAAAAAAAAAGAGTAACAAGGCCGAGTAATCAATGTGTGTTTGCTTTTTGATAAAGATCAGTCAGCAGTCGCACCTCATAATGCGTTTCGGGGGGTACAAGTGCCCCTTTCATCAGGGCTAGAAAGAACATAAGAAGATTTTCATTTCAATCTGGCATCAATACAATATCCCCTCAAAAGGGGTCATACATAAAACCAGTCAATCATAATGAAAGTATAAAAAAAAAAAAGTACCAAAAAAGTACAAAAGTTTTTTGGTATTTTTTTATATCCTTAATAAGGGTTTAAAAAAACAAAACAAAAAACTTTTTTTTGGTTATTTTTATATATATATATATATATATATATATATATATATATATATATATATATATATATATAAAAAATATATATAAATATATATATATATATATATATATATGCTGCATGTTGAAATGCATTTTTTATATATTACAAATTATATGGAAACTATTTTTTGGCCTTATGCAATATATTTCAAAATATATTTCAATTTATATATATATATATATATATATATATATATATATATATATATATAATGTGTATATATATATATATATGTATATATATTACACTGCATATTGTAATGCGTTTTTTATACATTACTAACTATATGAAAAATATTTGTAAAAATATATATTTTTAAATATGTTCTTCAGATTTTTTTTTACATATAAAAAAGTCATTTTAACATATATTTTTACATATATTTGTAAATGCATTCCAAAAATGTAGATTTGTATTTTTAGACATGCAGTATATTTGAAATGGATAAGGGCCTTATTATGATTGACTGTTTGGATTCAGTATGACCCCTTTGAGGGGATATTGTGTTGATGTCAGATTGAAATGAAAATCTTATGTTCTTTCTAGCCCTGATGAAGTATTTGTAGCTGCTAAGTTTTAATAAAGGGACACTTACCTGTCTTCACCTGAACTGGTTCTTCGGCAGTCTTTGGGTCCCTGGAGCCAGCATGTTTACTTGGGGCAGCCGCTGCGATTCCTTGCAGCTTCACATTTGGCTTCCCACTGCGTATGTGTGAGCCGGGCTGCACTTTGTGAATGGTTCTGTAGCCTTCTGGTACCTGTGACATGTCCTAGAAGGTTGAGGACAGCAGGGAGCACTTCCGGTGGATTTGCCGCAGAAATCCAATGGAAAGTGGGAGCAGGTACCTGTGAAACCCCCCCCCCCCCAAAAAAAAGGGAGGGAGAGCTGAAAGTGGAACTTACCCTTAAAAAAAAGAATATAGATCAAGCTCATAGCGAATAGAATTCTAAGATGCATCACTAGAGGGGTCATCAGCAGGAGGAAGGAGGTCCTTTTTCCTCTATATAGATCTTTATATCACTAGAGGGGTCACCGGCAGAAGGAAGGAGGTCCCGATTCCTCTATATAGATCTTTATATCACTGGAGGGGTCACCAGCAGGAGGAAGGAGGTCCTGATTCCTCCATATAGATCTTTATATCACTAGAGGGGTCACCAGCAGCAGGAAGGAGGTCCTGATTCCTCCATATAGATCTTTATATCACTAGAGGAGTCACCGGCAGAAGGAAGGAGGTCCCGATTCCTCTATATAGATCTTTATATCACCAGAGGGGTCACCGGCAGGAGGAAGGAGGTCCCGATCCCTCTATATAGATCTTTATATCACTAGAGGGGTCACCGGCAGGAGGAAGGAGGTCCTGATTCCTCTATATAGATCTTTATATCACTAGAGGGGTCACCGGCAGGAGGAAGGAGGTCCTGATTCCTCTATATAGATCTTTATATCACTAGAGGGGTCACCGGTAGGAGGAAGGAGGTCCTGATTCCTCTATATAGATCTTTATATCACTAGAGGGGTCACCGGTAGGAGGAAGGAGGTCCTGATTCCTCTATATAGATCTTTATATCACTAGAGGGGTCACCGGTAGGAGGAAGGAGGTCCTGATTCCTCTATATAGATCTTTATATCACTGGAGGGGTCACCGGCAGGAGGTCTTGATTCCTCCATATAGATCTTTATATCACTAGAGGGGTCACTGGCAGGAGGAAGGAGGTCCTGATTCCTCTATATAGATCTATATATCACTGGAGGGGTCACCAGCAGGAGGAAGGAGGTCCTGATTCCTCTATATAGATCTTTATATCACTAGAGGAGTCACCGGCAGGAGGAAGGAGGTCCCGATTCCTCTATATAGATCTTTAAATCACTAGAGAGGTCACCGGCAGGAGGAAGGAGGTCCTGATTCCTCTATATAGATCTTTAGTTAGACCTCATTTAGAATACTGTGTCCAATCCTGGAGACCTCACTTACAAAAAGATATTGATAAGATAGAACGAGTCCAGAGACGGGGAACAAAAATGGCTCAGGTCGGGGGAATAGAACATATCAAGAGCGACTTCAGGAACTTAACATGTACAGTCTGGAGGAAACAAGGAAAGGGGAGACACGACTGAAACCTTTAACCCCTTGGCGCCAGCGCCTCCGGGCCCTTTAAGGGTTTCAGAAGCTGGAAGGCTGGGCGGGGCTTTAGGGTCATGTGACTGCCGTGATTCGCTGTCACTGCGGTCACATGATCGGGAAAGGTTCCGATCGAAAGAGGAGATCAGGACCTTTCCGTGAGTACCGGACATGTGTGCTGGGAGCACGCAGGGCGCGCACTCTCAGCACATATGTTTTTCTTAATTGCATGCAAATGTGCGGCCACTCAGCATCAAGGCCAAAACGCCAGGAGGCCGCACATTTCCGTGCGGCTGGTGCGAAGAGGTTAATTCATTAAGGGGGCAAAAAAGGTTCAGGAGAAGGGGCGGACTGACCATTTGGAAACTTGGGCACTGCCCGAGGGCCCGGGGTCAGTAGGGGGCCCCATGAAATGCCCCTGATACCTTTTTCATAGGCTTTTTTGAGTTTGGGCAAGGACACAGGGGCCCCATGATCCCCTATTGCCCGGGGGCCCCATGAATTGTCAGTCCCCCCCTGTTCAGGAGGGCAGTATTTCAACACGAAACCAAAATCAGGAACACGGGGACATGACCTTAAACTAACTGGAGGAAAGTTCAAAACTAAAGTACTATTTTACTGAAAGAGTAGGTGATTCTTGGAATAAACTTCCAGCAGAGGTGGTGAGCGAGTCAACAATAAATAGCTTCAAATATGGGACAAGCATAGATCTATACTCAGACAAAAAAAGTTAACAAAAACAAGAAAACAACCCCCCACCCCCCCCAAAAGTGCCGTCGCTTTTCTAAGTTTCTACAAAGACACAGGAGGGAGGCGGGACCCTTTCATATGTTCTGTAGAGGGCCCCCTTCCTGCCATCTTGGCCTCCCCCCATGGTGGCAAAATGCCAGGGCCCAGTCGTAAGTACGACCTTTGCGACCCTAGTAGTTCCACCACTGCTGTGGAGAAAATAAAAATGTTACTTAAAAAAAACACACGTGGAGGACTTTCTCTGTGGCTGATAAATGTGTATTCATGTTATGTGTGACTCATTG